AGTGTATGAGGAGATGCGGTGGTATTTTGTTTGGCTCTTGAATTCTTTATTCGAATTAAAAGCTTTTCATTTCGTCTTACTTGTTCCATTTGAACGGCAAAAGATGCATTTTTAGCGAAATGTGTGTGTGTGTGTGTCGGAGAGAGAGAGAATGAGTTCCTTTCGTAAAATAGAGAAAGAGAAAAAGAACTGCATTGAATCCATAGATAATTGAATGTTGATGCATAACATAAGTACTGGCACACACTGAATAAATTTTTCCCCTGTTGTGAACAAGACATACTGGTGATTCCGTTCCGTTATTTTTCAATTTTAACCCCTTCACCTCCGGTCGATTTCTCTATCTCTATCTCTCGCCATTCATCTCTACTTGTTCCTCTCTTGCGTGCGATCTATACATACACTCTCGACATTGGGATAAAGATCCCATTATACTTGGCATCATAAACACGATTTATTATTATGCGATGCGATTGTATACCGCATTCTCGTTTTGAAATTTTTCTTCGGTGGATTTGATCGAGAGAAATCGCATTGCGAACACACAAGTTGTTTGAGAAAAAGATATAGAGATTTTCATTTTGAGCGTGCCTTTCGGTGCATTTTCTTCATCGTCGGCCAGCATGTGATAATAAAACGAAAAAAAGAATTAAACTGAAAGCGACACAAAATGCACAAAACCCCGAACAAACAAACAAAACGGGCAAACCATTCACATCCACTGCAGAGCAAAATTGTGACGGTAATGACAATCACATAATCCCAAAACACATTTTTCCTTCGTTCAAAAATATGCTCGTAATTCGTTGGAATATATACAACCGAGAGACGAAGAAGTAAAAAGCAAGTGAAAAAAATTCGCTTCTTTTTGTCACTTATCTTTTTGTTGACCAACTGAATTATACCCAAGTAATGCAATTGTTTGTGTATTTGTTATATTCGTCGCCGCCATCGAAAGAAGACTTAGATAGATTCGATTGTGAAATTCCATGCCACATTTCTAGACTAGATCAATTGCATTTCCCGATGCTCTCTTTTATTCGCTTTCTCAGTTTCGATGGTTTCTTTATCATGTGGTGTTGTTTTCTATTTGCGAAATCGGATACATTCAATTTTCTGTGGTGCTGACGAAAAATGAATGGCAAATTCTCTGAACAAGATAAAAAAAAATAAATAAATAGCACTCATGCTAAGAAGAAATGCAACAACAAATTGTCGCAAATAAAAGAAGAAACACATATTTTACTGTCACGTTGCTCTAGTCTCGGGGTTATTTTGAATATTAAAGTGATTCGATGCCAAAATAATTCGAACGACAAGCTCGTTGGCACCACTAACCGAAAATAATTTCAAATCATTATGTTTCCGAAAACATTCACCACAGTGTGGTTGCCGCCCGAAAACCCCAAACAACATTGTCTCGAATGAAATGCAATGCGACACATAACGCACACTTCACATGATCAGTTTCTCCGTATTGCGTGCGCGCGACCCCAACATTGCACACAATTCCAATCGACGAACAAATATACATGAGTGCATATCACACAATGTAAAATAAAAAGACACCAATAAAAGAAATAGAAGAAGAAACAAACAGAGGAGAGGAGAGAAAAAAAGAATCAAAACCGAGAAAAATGCATACACATTTATCAATGGTGGCATTCGATGCACTTCTAGTTCCTGGTATGCTGTAAAGTGTGCTATCCAAACAAACTAATGTCAAATAAATCGAAGTAAAATCCACATCTCTAAGAAAAGCTTGCTATGATCAAACTGTGTCCTGGAGACACAGTCCGCCGCCGGTTTTTTTTTGTGCTGTTCGTTCTGCGTTTTGAGCGTGTGAAATAGGGACACTTGGTATTTTTCAGTTTACTCAGAATCAGCGGAAAATTTCAAGAAAATTGTGGAATGGAAAAAAGGGACGAATTCAGAATAAAATGAGTTGTTCTTATGAATATGTGTGGATTGATATTATTTAGTTCGTCTTTCATTTCGAATTGGAATTGCTGGGAATTGCAGTAACATATTAATCGGCATTGCGTAAGCATAAATTTATTCGTGCTTTTGATTATATGTATAGATGTATATTCATTGCATACAAAACTCGATGCAAAATTGAAAATGAAGTCATATAACGGAGCAATAGAGAAACGACGAAAAGAGGAAGAAAAAAAATCGAAAATTGTTTCCAGATTTTTGAAATAATTTTCTCGACACGCAAAAGTTTTATCGCTTCATTTTGGCCAAATATTTTGCGGCGATGGTACACACAATAGTACGTAATAGACGGCGATGGAGAGGAGAGAAAGCGAAAACTTAAATGCGATTGAAATAAAATCGCAAATAAAATTGGTTTATAAATGGTTTTGATCACGCTCTTTGTTTGCCAGCTCGTAAAGCGCCAGTTCATTGGCTTAGGTAATCCCATAATGTCTATGACGAAATCAAAGCGCGCCAACTCTTCGCACTCAATCTGCAAGAACTCATTAAATTAAAATGGAATGTGAAAGTGAGTGAAGAAGCAGAGAGTGAGACAGAGAAGAAAAAAAAAATGTATGGAAAAACAGATTTTCAACAATAAAATAGTTTAAAGCGAAGGAGCACGCGTACGGCAAGCGAAACGCGCAGCGCTCCATTTAATTGGGAAAAAGTTTGATTTTCTTGAATTTCTCTCTTTTGAGGCGACACGAGCAATTTGCACGCGACATGCCATTGTTGCGTTCCGTTGTTGTCGTTGCCCACGAAAGGATAATTATTTCGAATGGTTTTGGAATTTCTATTACTACCACCACCAATTCAACACTAAAACTTCATCATCAAACAACAAGAACATATATATGTATATCAAAGAGATGGGAAAGGGGAGAGACAGAGAGTGCGAGCCTGTGAGCGAAATACAACGTCAAAAAATGTAATTAATTTTTCATTCATGTTTTCCGATGTTCAATGTGAATGCGAATGACGTGCAATGTCGATTCCCGTTTTACTCTACTTCAGCGGCACAACATGCCTTCAATTTGTAAATGATAAACATCTCATTCTCTCTCTCTCTCCCTCTCTCTTTCGCTCCCTTTGTACTTTGTAACTAAATTTTTGGATTGTCCACGGCACTTTGAATTACGAGTGGCAACAGCAGCGCGGCCGTAGCACACACCGATTGCATGTGATAACAATTGTTGGAAAGTATTCCGGTATGTGTGCTGCTCTGGTTGCCCATATCAAAATACCATATCAATTCGTTCAAGTGAGTTGTTCCACGCATATGTTTAACACGGACGTAATTAATGTTGATTTGCAGAAAGAGCGAAAATCAGCAAAAAAAAAGTGAACCGAATTTTCTCACTCAATGCACGGTAAAAAGTCATTCATTTAACGGTTTGCACACAGTGATTTCGATCGAAAACATATTTACCTCACATTACATCTAATTATCGCCTACAAATTGTATGCTAATGTGCTTGAAACACACAATTCATTCGCAAAATGTACGTACATATAACCGCCCACGTGTAATTCAAACTAAAAGTGTTCAACTTTTGAACAGTCTGTTACTAGTTATAAGTACTCACTTCACACTGCCCAATTAAACTTAGATCAATCACATTAATTAGAGGAGAAATCATCATTTCGAATAATAAAATTGCTTCCTGTTACCGAAAATTGTGAACCGCAATATCACAAGAGCAACAAAAAATATGTGTGGAAAACTTTAGTTTTAATTACCATTCTCCTTGATTTGATAACCCTTGATTGTGTGTATATGCGTCTACTGCTAAAGTCCGGACTAATTGACTAAAGACAATTAATTTTCAAAACGATTTGCTATGATATTTAAAAATCCATAAATCAATTTGACATGACCCGAAAACATACGAAAACACAAATCCATTTATCACGTTTTCAATAGAATTTCACGTCCAAAAGACGATAGACGGACAATTGCTTCGAATCGGAATTTTTGTGGAATGATACTTTAAAATTGATGTTTTTGGTGAACATTTTGGGTTAAAATGAATTTATGCTGAAAACGTCGATTGGGTAAATTATTGCATGAATCTGAAAAGCTTCTTTATAAGCTCAATAATTCATATTGATCTTTCTTCATTTCGTCAGGTTGTTATCGTAACTCGCATTAAATTGATTTGAAAACAGTGTGTCCCAATTCACAGTCGACTTGTTATCAAACTATAATAATAGTGCGCACCGTCGAAACTTTCTTAATTCAACCGCAGTTCGAGTGTGAGTAGGAAACATCGTGATTCAATGCAGTCCATAAATATTCGATTAGACATGTGAACTGCAATTTTCGAATGCAGTCAAAATCACAAGCATAATTAGCGTTTTGCATATACATCTCGTTGACGCAATATCAACACACACACATATATACATATTTACAATTGGCAAATGAGGTGATGTTAAACACGTATTCCAAATATTGACTGCTTGAAACACTTAAGACTTCATGATTGACAATAATCCACAGTGATTGTGCCATGAAAGTGTCACGTTTGTAAAAGGTGTGTATGTCAATGAATTTGATGCTGATGCCATGTAAGCGATGACATTGTCGCTATTTTCAAAATTGATGTAAAATGTGATAACATGACACATCCTATATCCAACACGAATTACGACGGACAAAAGCATTTTGATGGAAATTCAGTCATTTACAATTAATAAAACTCATTAAAATTTCAATTAAATTTGGTTTATATGAACAATTGCCTTCAAAGGGTAAAATTAACAATTCATTTGAAACGGTAATTTGCGGAAGAATTTTGATTTGAAATTGTTTTGTGTATTTTCATATTTCAATAGAATTTCGCTTCGCGATATTTCCATTTCAAGAGAAAATATCATTTTGAAATTCAATGCAAAATATTCAAAGAAGTTAAAAACAACCAAAAAAACATAAGTTTATATAAAAAAAATTATCAAGAATTAAATTAATATACAAAAATATATAATCGTTATTTTTATTTTGAAAATTCCGTACTACTTAAATTTTAGAATTCAAGTACTTTAGTTTTTTTAAATTTTTCAAAATTATAGGCAAGGACTGTGAATACACACATACCGCAGAACATGATACCAGAAAAAAAGAGGAATTCATATAGACGTGATTCAAACAATTCCAATCCGCTTATAATAACAAGAATAACATTACCCATAGCGACTTCTAAAAGCCAAAATGATAAAACAACCGATTTCATGCTCTCTGGAGCTTCTTTGTATGAAAACGATAGGCCGGTTACATCAAAAATTGCTTGAGCCATTGATAAAAGAACATACTGCGGAACTTGCCATAGCATGCTTACGGAATTCATAGGCATGGATTCAATTTGAAATTGGACCCAAGCAGAGAGTAGGAATGAGGTTCCCATCAAAATGCCACCAATAGTTAGCTTCTGTAATGGTCGTCGAATGCCAATTTTACTTAGAATGGGATAAATTAGGATCTCACACAATGAAATAAATATAAGTGTAAATAGTGATTCCATCATTTGAATTTGATCTGGTTTAATGGTGTAAAATCCAAGATCACCGTTCATTTGATTGGCTTGAAATGTCCAGCGTGATCCAGGTTGAAAAGATAATGTCCAAAATAAAGGCAACGGTAAATAAAGTGTCAACATTTTCAAAATAATTCTCGTTTCATGCACCAGTTGAGTCCCATACTTTTCAATTGAATAATCTAGCAGATTTTCACGTGGATTCGTTTTTCCTTCGCGGTGCTTGATGATTATCGCATTCTAAAAGATAGATAAATTATTTCGCAACTTAAACGAGAATGCAAAATTATTCCAATACTTACCCAAATGCATTTCAACATTTTCATCAACATATTCTCGGACGATGGTTTAACATAAGTATAAGACGGTTTGCCGATTGTAAAAAGCACTGAAAAAATACAATGGCACATATTAACAAGTGTTTTCTTTTGAAAATCGAAAGAAAAACTTACGAATGGATATAATCATAAGCATTGCAGGTACCCCAAATGCAAGCGAATAGCAATCATCTTCACCAAAACAATGTACGTCTGATCTTAGAACAGGTGTGATTGGCGTTGAAATTAATGCGCCAACAAAAATCATAGAATAATACATGGAAAAAAAGCTGGTCATTTGTGTGTTTTGTTCGGGCAATTTAAACTGATCTCCCCCGAAAGCCGACACACATGGTTTAATGCCCCCACTACCGAATGCAATCAAAATCAAACCGATGTAAAGTGCAGCTTCAGGCGAAAATGCAATCCCTGGGATCGCTCCAATTGAAACGATAAAGCTTCCAATCGCATATAAGATTGACAAACACAAAATTGTTTTGAATCTTCCCAACCAAACATCGGACAAAATGGCGCCAAAGATTGATGTGAAAAATACCATCATCACCAATGTATGATACAGCATCGTGGCATAATTCTCAGTAAAATCAAGTTTGTTTTTCAAATACAATACCAAAATTGCTGGAAATATTACATTTAAATTTAATGAAAATTGGACTATTTTTACTTTATATGTATCTTTTGTTTACTATTCAGTCCATGGAAATTGAAGCGTTCACAGAACTCCATGCTAACGATTAGGAATATACGTTTCGGATACGAATGTTTTTGTGGCTCAGCATTTTCGACATTAAACAAAGTCGTTGTTACATTGTTTTGACAATTTTTATCTGAAATCATTGCGCAACAAGATAAATTTAAGTATATTGAAATTGATATTAATTTGAGATTTACAAAAATATGTAAGCAAACAAGTCTTATCCAAACTGTTTTTATTTTACTCATATATCTTAGTCATAAAAAGAACATGTGAATACTATTTGAAAAATGTGGCATATGGATCGTAATTTTTATGGCTTTCATATCGTTTATGGAATTTTTGAATATCAAAAGGCATAGACAAAGTTGAAATGTTCATCTTTCCCTTCATTGAAGTAGACATCTATTGTTATTTCAATTTAATTTAAATTACTTGAATTGTTACTATTGAAGGTCTGCTCATTAGAGTTGCCCATTTCCAATGAAATTCGTGGTTATAAACTTTTTTTTTGCTTTTTTATTTAATCTGGTAATTCATGGAAACTGATTTGATGTACTAAACCCTATGCACAGAACAAATGTATTCTTTTAGCGTTAAAAGTTTTGAAATTATAACTAATCACATCAAAGCTCCAAAGATAACTGAAAAAAGTAAGTCTTTGTATTTGAACCCTCCCACTGTTGTAGAATATTCAGATTAGATATCTCTTGTATTTTTTTTACTGAAACGACGATAGAAAAATTTATGATAATACCCAATTTTATTTTTTTACAACAAATGTTGAATGTTGTTTCAGAAAGGCAAAATGACAATAATCTCTTAATATTCAAACTGCCTTAGAGTAAAATTAGCATGATTTTTTAATCTGAAAATAAAATTTTCGTTTGAAATAATAGTTTAATATAGCTGACACTATATAATATCACATTTCTATGTGATTCTCTCATACTAAATTCATTCTTTTTTCATTCAAATACCTTCAATTCCCCAGGACCAAAATCAATTTGACCTCCCTGACGATAATAGAACTCAACATACAGAGAAGCTGACAACTAAGGAGAAACGTCTTACGCACAGTGCGTAGACATCATAAGCGACGACAGTGTTAATATCGCCTATTTATAGCGTCAGTCTAATCGCTGTTTGTGTATAAAACTATTCGTCAATGGAATTTCTGTTTGTGATATTTCCATTTAACAGAAGACTATTATTTTCTGAAACATTTCGAGGAAATGAATTAAAGAATGAAACATATAAATGCCAACAACGTTCAAAAACACTTTAAAAATCTCTCATAACAACAACCGACATGAACTTTACGTTTTTCAATGAAATTTATCGGCGGTCACGTGAGCTTGTAACTTGATACGAGGTTGCAAAATATCGTTGTAAACATTTATATTTTAGCACATGCACGGCGCCTATAACAGAAATTCACATCCTGTATTGTGTTTTGAAATGGTTTTTCATTAAATCCATTTCCTGTAATTAAATATTTTATTTATCTAAGAAAGTGTAAACACGCTCGGTTCGATCGTGTTCAAATTAAAAGCACTGAATAAATGTACACCAAAACAAAATGTATGTATGCGCCAAGATAGCGATAATAGCTGTTGGTGGGTGCCAATGTGTACAATTGAAAACAATAAATAAATGAAGAGGAAATTATTTTCCTTGGTAAAAAAAAATAATTGATATCTCGTTTCCACAGAAGATTTACGATTTCAAACCGGTAGAAAGCCATCACACATTACCATTGTATTTCATATGTGAGAATGTGTATGTGTGTGTCGATTGTAAGTTTAAAATTGAAAATTGCCACTACAAAACACAATTCACCGCATGCATTGAGTTTCCCCAATAGAAATAAAAATGTGTTTGTGCATAACCCGGTTACACCAAGCAAATACAGATTATTATTATACAACAAACGGTGGGGGTCTATTGTGTTAAATGTCCAATGTCTATTGCATCTGGCGCATCAGCAATCTGTTCATTTACGAATCTTTATTAATTCCTGTATTTGCTTCTACCCTGGATCCGAATTTTGTACTCGAAACATATTGTTGCTGTCGTCGTCTTTATCCTCGTCGTCATCGTCGCTTCAAAACTTGGGAAAATGATGTTAGCATAAACTTTACCATCAATTTAACGCATTCCATTCTTGTTCAGATTGGCTTTCGTTTGCATGCTATGCATTTCACTGTTCGCAATATATATATTATATACATGTGTATAAACACTTGCCATGAATAATTTTGACCAAACCTAATTTCGGCAGATCTGACAATATCCGAATTAGCTACCACGCAAATCCAATTCACATATGAATGTTTATTTTGCATTTTCGTTCGTTTGTCGATACACAGAGAGAAAAAATTTGGTAAATGTAAAGGGTAATTTGTAAGTTTAATATTACT